GCGTGGAATTACCACGCGTCGAATTACCACGCGTCGAATTATCCACGCGCCGAATTACTACGCATTGAATTACCACGTGTCGAATTGGAAATATAAAAATTTGGAAGTTTGGGAATTCGGCAAATTAGAAATTCGAGAATGTAGAAATTTGGAAATTCAGGAACTCAGCAAATTTGGAAATAAATTTGCAAATACAGAAATTCGTCAATTAAAAAACTCTTGTTCGACCCCAAAATCCTCACCTAGTCCTATTCTGCGAGTCAGTATATTTGCTCGAATAGAACCCAACAATTTTATCAGGTTGCAAAGCGCCATTGAACTCGATGCTCAAATTATAAAGTCCCGTGTGCAGTTCATTCTTGGTCCCCACCACGAACATCTCGTGTTTCGGGATCTGTACAACATCCAGCACCTCCAACTCATAATTTTCCTCCCTATCATATGTCTTCAACACCGTAGACGTAATATTCAGTTCCTTCTGATGCAGCGCTATGAATCTTCTTGTATCCAGAACATCAATCAGTATAGTGACTTTGCCCTGGAAGGTGCCCTTGTTCAAGTCCGGATGCAAATATACATCATAGTGCAAGGGTTTCACTTCCTTCGGTAAACGGAACGACAAATCGGAGATGGTGTCCTTGTTCATTGTGGTAAAACCTAAAAAAAAAGTAAAAACATGCGGGATAAAAATAAGAGTGTCAGCAGGGATATTGCTCGAAGAGGATCAAGTAGTGTTTTGCATTCTTGTCGCAAGATAAAAATGTTTGAACGTGTGAGATAAGCTGACAATACCGGTGGAAAATTCCTGGGCAATGTGTTTGCGGCAAAAATAAACGGTCGAAAGTATTCTGCCTCGGGGCAGAAAGAAACATTTTAAGCTTAACGCCATTTGTGCACTGGGTTTATGCGATTTTAATTATAGAATCCATTCGATTCGTTGAGGCTCGTTGGCGGGCAATTTTGTTCCATAGACTTAATTCGTTCTGTGATCGCTAAAATAGAAAGGGATACTTCTGCTTTACATTGCTGGTATTTATTATTGTTGTGACATAGGGCTGTAGGTATGTGTAGGCTGTAGATATTGAGATCTAGGAGATCTGGGGATATAGGGACTTTTGGTGCATCGACTAATCCATAGTGATCTATGGATTCGGATCGAGGGATGTAAGGACATAGGGATTTGAGAATATAAAGCATTGTGGATCTGGGATATTTCATAGCAAGTTTTCGTTCCTAGGGAATTTTTCTCCCTAGAGAAATAAGTAGGATATTTTCAAGTGTGAATGTGGAAGTCTAGGGGATTTTAAGGTCAGCAAAAATTTGCACCACAGTTTAGGATTTTAAGGAGTTTGGAGATCTAAAGATTATGATCTAGGAAATTTGGTGTTCTAGGGAATTTGTGAATCTATGGACTGAAGATTTGTGGAGGATTTGAGTATCTAGGGGATTTGAAGTTTTAGAAGATTTGATGTCTGATCAATTTTGGAGTCTAATTTAAATGTGTGGTAATTTGAGAATCTAGCAGATTTGGGATCTAGGAAGGGTATGACTCTAGATATATTGCATAATGCAAACTTATGGATTTAGAAATCTAGGGATATAGAGATATTTAGAAATAAAAATAGTAGAAATGTAGGGATCTAGAAATATAGACATAGAAGAGTAGGAGATAAGGATCTAGAAATATTGATAAAAATATATGATATGTAAATTTAGCAATGTAGGTCGTTAGACATAGAAAAGGTATAAAAATCTAGGGATATACAAAATAGTGTTAAAAAGCATCGAAATTATTTATAAAACCAATGAACTATCATATGGAAGTATTAATATCGTTATCAACATTCAACGTGTTATCATTAAACTGCCAATTTTCGAGCGGTACTCGATATTGGATAATACTTGATAATTTCTAAAACTTCAATCTTCATAAACTGGAATCTGAAACTTTGTGTGATGTATTAAGAAATATTAAATCAACATGTACATAAAATATTAAATAATATTCTGCTATAACACATTAAATAAAAAATTACAAATAAATATATTACAGCAAGTAATCCCTTAATATACAATATTTAATAACAACTTGAACTACGAGTTAATCACAATCAATAATTCATGTTTCGGATAATAGTTACAAAGACTAAAGTAGTAATGGATTTAAACGACTTTAAATTTCCCGCCAATGACAGACCGGACTGTGAGTCATGAGTACACTAGGCACACTTGCCGACACAAAATTCACTCACGGTATTGAAGGACGGCTGCCTCGACTTTTTGATCGACAAGCACCAGCAACGTGGCCAGACATGTGCAAATTAGGCTGAGGATACAGCAAACGCTGCAGGTGAAGCAAACGAGACCACTTTCGCGATGCGTCGTTTTCCTTCTTGGAGTTGAGTAGGCGACACCGCGGTACTCAGCGCCACTCGAGCTGCGTTTAGTCGCTTTCGTCGCCATTCAGTGCGCATGCGTCACTTATATGGAAAACGAACTATACCTGGAACATTGCGTCTCGTCTTTAATTAATTTATCCACGAAGCATCAAGATCACTAGAGAAAAACATTATTACAGTGTCGGTTGCTTTCCGAACGATTCTTTTCGAAGGAGAAAAGAAACCCCGACTTGGCGGGAAATTTGAACGTGCGAATGGTGAAAGAGCGCGGTGCGAGCGAAGAGACAGAAATTGGCAGTGCGTTTAAATTGAATTCATTCGACACCTGTTGCTTCGAGTCTTTGCAACATTTTTTTTTTGAATATACTTTTTCTCGAATATACTAATATACTTTTTGAATATACTTGAAGATAAAAGGTGTTATGATGAGCTCAGTTTATGATGGGCTCAGTTATTAGACAATTTTTTAATCGATCATCCTTGATTGTACAAGAGTTTATGATCCATCACTTTAAACCGGTTATTTCTGTTCTAAGCCGTTCAAAAGTAACGTAACCGGAAAAGGAGGTCGAGCAAACGAGCGTTATTTAGAGCAGGAAAAACAGAACGGAACATGCATTCCGGAAAACTCACGCACGAGACACCATTGACGCAACCGTGACTGTCAACACTGAACGAGTTCACTATGATTATTGAATTAGTTCTCTCTTTTCTTGCAGGATGCGTGGCCTCCAAGGTGACCCGCAAAATTGAATAATCGTCGACGGAAGACGGTGAACTTACTCGTGAACGGTCGCGTGACACCGTCGGTATCGATTTTTTGTTTCTTCGCAGTTATTTTATAGCGTCGGTTAATTTGTTACTCGAGATCTGTATGTAGATGATGTATTTTTGGAATTTTAAGGCTATTCAATTATCGATGTTCTCGATTTTGATATTACCAGATATCTATACTATGACTGGGATATTGTTAGATTTATAGATATTGTTAATCCTGTAAGATATGGTATCTCTTTACGATATTCACATATTTCTATGTCTTTATATTTTTACTATTATATATTTTTATATTTTTAATATTAATTATTTTGGACTTTTGTTTCCCAAAATTGGTATGTCCCTATATCTGTGTATTTTTAGATTTCTATATATTTTATAAAATTTCAATACTCATAAACTCCTATGTGAATAAACCCTATATACCCAGATCTCTATGTAACCTAATCTAAAAATAACTATAATAATTACTATTAATAATAATAACCAAATCTTAAATTACTATAACCTATAATAACCTAACCTTAAATTATTACAACCTATAGTAACCTAACCTTAAATTAATATAACCTACAATAACCTAACCTTAAATAGTTACATCCTATAATGACCTAACCTTAAATTGTTATAACCTACAATAACCTAACCTTAAATTGTTACAACCTACAATAACCTAACCTTAAATTATTACAACCTATAGTAACCTAACCTTAAATTAATATAACCTACAATAACCTAACCTCAAATTATTACATCCTATAATGACCTAACCTTAAATTGTTATAACCTATAATAACCTAACCTTAAATTGTTATAATCTACAATAACCTAACCTTAAATTGTTACAACCTATAATAACCTACCCTTAAATTGTTATAGCCTATAATAACCTAACCTTAAGTTACTATAACCTATAATAACCTAACCTTAAATTGTTACATCCTATAATAACCTAACTTTAAATTATTAACCTTAAATTAACATAACCTATAATAACCTAACCTTAAATTATTATAACCTATAGTAACCTAACCTTAAATTATTGTAACCTATAATAACCTAACCTTAAATTAATATAACCTATAATAACCTAACCTTAAATGAATATAACCTATTGTAACCTAACCTTAAATTATTATATCCTTAACCCCTGCAATCTCCATATCCCTAAATCTCTATATCTCTAAACTTTAATATTTCAATATCTCTACATCCCTAAATCCCAATACTCAAATCCTTAGATTCTTCTCAAAGATATTAATACTAAAAAATTTCTCAACAATTTAACACTGAACACGCTTGAAATGTGTACAATCGAACGAAACTGCCTATTTGTTTTAAAGTCCTAGTGCGTCTCGGTTTTTGTCCTTCGAGTTAGAGTTTCACCGTCGTTTCAAGGATGCTGGTTAAAATTCCTGTCAACGCGCTCTGCCGATCCGTGTCATTGCTTTTTCTGTGACCTTTTATTTTGCAACATTCAAAGATTGACAAAAATTTATTGGTAACATTTGTCAATTTTTGTTGTTGCTGAACACCGTTTTATTTTTGTGATTATATTATTTGACACGTTGCTTGAGTCACAGGTAAACTCCACAACAAATTAAATATTATTAAATGGCAAAATTAAAAAATATGAAATAATTGTTCAATAATATCGTATACTATATTGTACTACTAATCATGCAATACAACAAAATTTATTAAATTAAAAATTTGAAGAATAAAGTTTTCAAATTTTTGACCCTTTATCTACATAAGAAATTTTCCTGCTAAAATACAAAATTAAATATTTATAATTAATTCTATGATTAATAAAATAATTAATTTTTCCTAAAGAAATTAAACGTCTCCAGTTTTCGTACGTTTTAGTTACCCTCGATTAAAAATAAGACCCTCGATTATAAACAATTATAACAAATTTTAACAAACAACATAATTATTAAATGACATAATTAAATGACTTAATTAATTGAATGCACTACCTGATCTTTCAAGAAATGTCCAAAATCTTCACACGTTGTTTCACTTTCAATCCGATCACGAAAGCGGAGAATCGATCATCACTTTCGTGTTGTTCTTCGATCGGTTATCGAACAAAGACTGCCATAAACTGACCGGTGGTGAAGTGACCACTTCTCTTGCTCTTAATTGAAAGTAACGGGAATACTAACTGCATGCATATTCTCCAGTTAATTGGCTGAAATTGATAACGCAAAGTTTGCGTTCATTAACCAGCCACCAGTGATGTCAAGTAAAAGAATAACCTTGCTCGCATTAATGATAACCTCGGTGCGCAGTCGGACTGCAAAATGAATCTTTCTACATTTATTTCTTTTACAAAAATAATCACTATTAATTACCTCGAAGAAATGCAAAACATTAGTACATACTTTAATTTATAAAACGCTGCTTTACGACGTTTGTTTAAAATTAATTAACCAAGACTGACAGTGTTTACGTTTGAAAAATAAAAGAACGAAGATGAATGTTTGTACGTATTTCATGTTTCATTATAATAATATGTAACTGAGTAATTGACAAATGTTGATAATTACAAACGTGTGGTTCAAAGTGAGATGTAATGTAGGTTTGGTTATTTTTTAATGGAAAGTGTTCGTTTAGATGGTTAAATGAGTTATATATATAATGAAAGGTGATATAATGTGTTATGACATTATTTGCGATGATATAACGGGTTGATTACTTGATGTGATGGGTGGACAACGTGCTGACAGTTTGATGCGTGGTCTAGACGAGGAATTAAGTAGCTGATGCATTGAATATACAATGCGACGAATGTGCAACGCGTCGACTATACAACGCGCTAAATATACAATACACTGACTATTCAATGTGTCGATTTTACAACGCGTTGACTGTACAACGCGTCGAATATGCGTTGCGTCGACTATTCAACGCGTCGACTGTGCAACGCATCGACTATTCACGCGTCGACTACGCAATGCGTCGACTACTCAATGCGTTGACTATGCAACGCGCCAACTATTCAACGCGTCGACTATTCAACGCGTCGACTTCGCAACGCGCCGATTATTCAACGCGTGGACTATTCAACGCGTGGACTATGCAACGCGCCAATTATTCAACGCGTCAACTATTCAACGCGTCGACTTCGCAACGCGCCGACTATTCAACACGTGGACTATGCAACGCGCCAATTATTCAACGCGTCAACTATTCAACGCGTCGACTTCGCAACGCTCCGACTATTCAACGCGTGGACTATTCAACGCGTGGACTATTCAACGCGTCGACTATTCAACGCGTCGACTATGCAATGCGCCGACTATTCAATGCGCCGACTACGCAATGCGCCGACTACTCAATGCGTTGACTATGCAACGCGCCAACTATTCAACGCGTCGACTATTCAACGCGTTGACTTCGCAACGCGCCGACTATTCAACGCGTGGACTATGCAACGCGACGACTATTCAACGCGTCGACTATGCAATGCGCCGACTATTCAATGCGTCGACTGTGTAATGCGCCAACTACTCAATGCGTTAACTATGCAACGCGTGGACTATGCAACGCGTTGACTATGCAATGCGCCGACTATTCATCGCGTCAACTATACAACGGATGGACTATTCAAAGCAGTGACTATACAACGCGCCGATATTCAACGAAGCAATAAATTAATGTTAACGTTAATATTAAATAAGTGCATACAGAGTTAAATGTACATATAGGGACTTCATACGACAATATGGTGAGAGTTCACTATATCTGCACTTTGTGAATACGTAAAATAAAAAAATGGAACAGTGATTTATTTTCAGTGCAACAAATAGTATATTTTTGCAATAGGAAAGTGGAAAATTTAAGTATTGTTGTTTTGTTTAAAAGAAAGATTTTCAATAAACCCTTATTGATTTCGAACGGATTTATCATGATGAATGCGATATAAAAGAATTAACGTATCTTGAGAAAAACTTCCACACCCATAAAGAATGATAAGTTTCTTACAATTTCAAGATAAACAGAGATAAACTAGTTAATTATATCGTTTTCCAATTGGATCTTTAATATGAATTAACGGCACGAGAAATTACTTGAACGATAAATTTAATATGTTTTCTAGTTTATTGATCTGGAAATGTTTAGCTTGGAACCATTGACGTAACTACAATTTTTTTGCAAATATAATTAGGTCTTTTACCATAATTTTTTACCTATAATTTAAAATTTGGATTTTTTAGCTATAATGTTAAATAAGAACAGTATTTTATTTTCTTTATTTTGTATCGATTGTCCCCAAAATACGTAATTGGTTTATTTGTATAACAAAATTTTACGGAATTGATTAAGGTTTGTTTAGCTACGCCAATGTTCGAAACTGTGAAATGAAAGTCACGCTGCGAGAGATCACCGCTTTATCTTTCAATTAATCATGTTTTATCGGGTGTTCGATAGCAGATAATCACAATTTGAATCTAAGTAAAAAACATCTATCTCAGTTTTCTAGATTCGTCTTCTATCGTTCAGTATTTGTCAATAAACTTTCTATCGCTGAAAAAGTTGGTTCACTTGCTTTTTTCTTTATTTCGTTACTTCACAACGTTGCAAGTATCCAGGAAAAGTAATAAAAATACAAATTGAATCATTTGCAAGTGTCTGAAGACAAACACATAACTTCAAACATCATAGAGAAGTTTCATAACGTTGACATTCGTTTTGAGCAAATAAAACACATCTGAGTAGACACAGAAACTAATCCACGAATATTATGAAATCTTTAAAACTATAAATTTTTATTGTAAAATAAAGTTCTTTTTATCGTTGTTTTACTTTTACTGAATTTATATTCAAAAATAAATTATTTAGATAAGTAAGTAAATATTTTAAAAGATAAACATTTGAATAAATATTTTAAAAGATAAATATTTGAATAAATATTTTCAAAAATAAATATTTGAATACATATTTCTAAAAATGAACATTTAAATAAATATTTAAAAATAAATATAGATTTATTGATAAAATAAATTGTTTAATCATAAGTACTGATATAAAATAATTCTACCTAGTAATTTATAATTTTGCAAATTTTATATTGCATCAGTAATGTGAATCTTCTTATTAAGGGATGAAAATTATAATATTTAAATTATACAAAAATTTCAAGTTGCACAATGAGGAAAATCTGAATACATTTTTCTAATGAAATAAATTGTTCAACTATGTTTATGAAAATTAAAATTTACATTTTTAGAAATGTTTCACCCCCTCTGTATCCACCCCTGTCAAAATGTTTAAATACGTAAATTTAATTGTTATAAAATTGCAAATGGTAATGATAGCCATTTTGAAAATTTTGGACGACAGTTATTTGTGTCGATTATGTATTATTTATTTTTAAAAGTGATCTAAACAAAAATTACAAAATAATTGGACTTCTTTATTATCAATTAATTCTACCAATTAATTTAATACTCTCAATTAATTCTATTATACCAAGTAATTTTTGAAAGCATCCGTAAATTGAATTCATGACGAAGACCATTATAGATCGAAAGTTAGGTTATGTTAATAATGGCGGCCAAATAGCTTCCAGATAAATCCACCATTTACAGCCTTCGCTATAATTATTTTTTTATTATGTCATTAAATAACGATTCAGATAAGTAAATAATAAACGACATTGATTTAACGAATTTTATTCAATAATCATATACAATAATACTCGTAGTAGTTTTAAATTAATAAAGTACCTTACGAAATCTTAATCGAAAACTTTGCCAATTACATCCAAACATAAAAGCTTTTTATTTCTTTTTCTCAATTCGTGCTCTACTTTATTCTCTAACCTTTGTACACCATAATTAAATAAACTAAACCACTAAATTACCAGAAATTTCTCTCAGGGCTCTCCCTCGTATCGATACCATAAATTATAATAAATAAACTAAATCGATACACTGTACTTTATACAAATAATATTTACTCTGCAACGCACGAAATTTTCGATAAACTAATATCTACAAATCCTACGTATCGATCTCATCGATAATAAAAATAAATCGTCAGGGTGAATAAATAATTCGTATTGTAGATCCAAGACTATTCCTGCGTTTATTCAGAGAAGAAATATGTTAGGTACGCGCAGAATACTCTCGACAAATTATTAGTTTTCAGTTAGAAAATTGAGGGAAGTCCTCGAGGAAGAAACTTGTGCGTTCCCTTCGTATATACATAAATTAAACCGCGATGTGCGATGTTTTAAGGCAACAAAATAAATAATCACCCGGTTAAGAAAGAGAAAAGGAAAGGCACACGTTCGCCATTTTACGCGACAGCCATTTTACCTGTCGCTGAAATTCGTGTGCGACGTAGAATTCTTTCAAATAATGCGGTAAGCGGAGAGAGAGGAAGCGGGAAGTCTACGAAATGATCCAAGAGTTTATACTTGTTAGAAACCTAATCTAATTTTGTAATTGGTTTGCAAAATTCGGGACGATTTAGGAGGACATTTAGATGATCGAAATTTTGGGCATTCTTTTAGCAATTTTACAATTTGCAATTTCACAATTTTAGCTATTTGAAGATTAAGGAATTGGAAAGGCTTCAAAATTGAAAATTTTGAAAATTTGAAAATCTGCTAATTTAGAAATTTGAAGATCTGAAAATGTGAAATTTTGAAAATCTGAAAATATGCAAATTTAAGAAATTGAAGATTTGCAAATCTGCAAATTTCAGAATTTGAAAATCTTTAAATTTAAAAATTTGAAGAACTAAAAATTTGACAATTAAAAAATTTGGAATTTGAAAAATTTGGAATTTGAATTTGGAAATTTGAAGACCTAAAAATTAGAAAATTTGAGGATCTAAAAATGTGAAAATTTGAAAATCTGCAAATTTAGAAATTTGAAGAACTAAAAATTCGAAAATTAAAAAATTTGAAATTTGAAAAATTTGGAATTTGAATTTGGAAATTTGAAGACCTAAAAATTAGAAAATTTGAGGATCTAAAAATGTGAAAATTTGAAAATCTGCAAATTTAGAAATTTGAAGATCAAAAGATTTGAAAATTTGAAAATTGAAAAATTTGAAATTCTAAAAATCTAAAAATTTGAGAATTTGAGAATTTTGTTTCGATCAACCACTTTCCCGGACCATTTCATAAAATACCATCAGCCTCCGATACGAAACAATATTTTACTTTAAATAGCTAAGGCAAGTCGTCGATGTTGGATTGTCGCGCTTGTGGCTATTGTTTTCATTAATCGATGAACGATTATTAATCGAAAGCAACGTTCGCATCGCGTTCGTTCGTAATCGCCACGATCTAATTGTACGTTTAATTTAATTGACGCTATTTAACGGCAAACGATCGCGATTTCACGTAGAGGTGCTGATATTATCGAATACTGTTTGAATACTACTCAAATTTTATTACCGACAATACTGAAATATTGGTAATCGTTGAGATACTGTACAATTATTAGAACTATAAATTTTATTGTTCAAATCAGTTTCTAATCTAACCTGACATGCATATTATATTTAATATATATAATTTTAACTTAAAAGTTAATATTCTTGTCTCAAGTTTGATTTCATTACGTTTTCAAACAGTCATAAGTGTTTGGTTAGGTTAAGAATTTTGAATCAGGTTAGGTTACATTCAGTACAAATAAATAATGTATCAAGTTAGGTTAATATTCGAAAAATAAATTTCATATTAGGTTACATTCAGTAAAAATAAATAATCAACTTATGTTAATGTTTGAAAAATAAATAAATCTGAAATAAAGTTACAGCAACAACTTTTAATATAAATCTGAAATAGAATAAAGTGACTCAAATTTGAAGTTTAAATAAAAATAAATAAATTTGAATGATATAAGGTTAAGTTGAAATGTATAAATGCAAATGATTCCTCCCATTAACCTAACTATCTCAACGATATCATTAATATGTCGTCAAGTATATTTTTCCATAATAGCACCTCCAGTTTCACGAACTCGAGCTCGATTTCGCGAAACACATTTTTATCGGAAGACGAAAGATCGAAGATCGAGCTCGAGTCTTTTCGACATCGAATTTCTCCAACGATTTTCGACGCTCGGATCAATATTAAATTAATCGATGGATTAATTGTTAGTAGTTGCTTCGCGAGTTTCCTTAATATATTAGGCACACATTTAACGCACGTATATAAAAAAATTCTAAGAGACACTAGTTATGTTTCGTAAAATGGAAGGACTGTTTCGTGATCCCGTTACGATTCAAATTCTCATCCAGTATTATAAAATTAATCAAAATCAACGTTTGGCACAAAATCGACAAAAAAAGGAAAGGCTTCGATTTGAAGGCTGGAATTAAATTTGAGCAACATCTTTGAACGACGTACTGATCGATGTACTGATCAATCAATGAATCATTTTCACGGAAATCATTTTTAATAAATTTATAAAGCAAAAGCTTGTACAAGTATCATAAGAACTCCGAAAATTAAATAATAAGGGATTTTCCGAATTTTAAACTGAAAGTACTGAAAAGAAGTACTTAACGATTTATTAAGAGTTCCAACACTGAATAAATTGTGCGTTCAGTTTAATAATTAGCAACTACAGGGTGTCTTACAAGTAGTGTAGGTCTCTGAAATGGTAGGTGACGTGATTCTGAAGAACATTTCCCTTTGCAAAAATGGGGTGTGAAGCTTCGTTTTTGAATTATTAAGGAAAAACATGGATCAATCAGAGCGCGAGGATTGTGCTGGAATTACTACGCATCGAATTACCACGCGTGGAATTACCACGTATCGAATTACCACGCGTCGACTTACCACGTATCGAATTACAACGCGTCGAATTACCACGCGTGGAGGTACTACGCATCAAATTACCACGCGTCGAATTACCATGCATCGAATTACTACGCATGGAATTGCCACGCGTCGAATCACCACGCGTAGAATTACCATGCGTGGAGTTACCACGCGTTCAATTACCATGCGTAGAATTACCATGCGTGGAATTACCACGCGTCGAATTACCATGCGTCGAATTACTACGCGTCGAATTACCATGCGTGGAATTACCACGCGTAGAATTACCACGCGTCGAATCACCACGCGTAGAATTACCATGCGTGGAGTTACCCACGCGTGGAATTACCACGCGTCCCAACCACCACGCATGGAATTACCACGCGTCCCAACTACCACGCATCGAATTCGAATCACCACGCGTAGAATTACCATGCGTAGAATTACCATGCGTGGAATTACCACGCGTCGAATTACCACGCGTCGAATTACCATGCGTGGAGTTACCACGCTTCGAATTACCATGCGCCGTTAGACTCGAAATTGTCGCTCTCGCATCTGCGCATGCGTAATCCTCACACTCTGATTGGTCCGTGTCTTTCCTTAATAATTCAAAAACGAAGCTTTAAATCCCATTTCTGCAAAGGGAAATTTTATTCAGAATCACGTCAACTACCCCCCATTTTAGGGACCTACACTAATTACTACTCTAGTACTACACTAGTTGTGAAACTAGTGCAGTCTCACTATAGTAGACCTTGTATTACAGCCACCCCACAGAAGAAAATGGATGGATTATCCCAGCTTCGATGAACAACGTAATACAGATCAATTCACAAAAATGGTTTCTAATAACTATCCAAAACAACAGCTTGTGCAAGCATCATAAAATCCCCAAAAATAAAATAATAGAAGGCTTTCTATTTTGCAGGTACCGAAAGTGAAAAGAACTGCCTAACGATTGAACAGTTCCGAGATAAATTGTGCGTTTAATAATTAACTGTATATATTGCAGCCATCCACACAGAAGAAAATGGATGGATTCCACAATCGATCCCAGCTTCGACAACCGTGAAAATTCGACGACAACGCGTTGAGTGCCTTTCCCGTGTATCAAAGAACTACTCGACCGATATACAGTACACGTGCTTTGGTTACAATAATTCTACATCGCTGGAGATACAACAGGACCAGACGATTGATCTGTCCATGTATCGTACAGGTATCGATTCTTCGGACAGAGTCTCAGACAATACGAATCGAAAGGCCACGAATTCATTTGATTCCACGATCGAAGAGTCGACTGCAACAGTTCGATCATTTTTCTTCTTCCGTTGTGCTCGCTGTTACAGTTCGTTCACATCGAAGAATTCAAAGGTATTGCTCGTCTCTGCCCGATTTCCTGGTTCGATTTTTTTTTAGTTAGGAAGAATTTTCCACAACAGTCGACTCTCCATGGAAAAACGATAACAATAAGTTCCGATGACGCGTCCAATAAATATTAATTGACGTAGTGAACGATCGATCGCTGCTCGGTGAACGATCTATCGTTCAAATTCAATTGAAAAATCTTGCGATATATATATGTAGTAACGGTTGGTAGACGACTGGCGAATTAGTCGCATTTGTTGATGATCTCCACTTCTTGGATCTCTTCGGGCTTCATGTCGACGTCGCCCCAGCCCCATTTCATGTCCACGTGACTGTGGTCGGATGTGCCAGTTTGGTCGTACCTGGAAAATTATAGTGTTTTTTGTGAGATATTTGGGAGAGAATGTAGATATAACTCTCTTTTCTTTCTTTGATAATAGACATGTGGTAGACTCTTGGTATATTGCATGATTTATGAGAAGGTTCTTTTTCATGAGACTTCTATGTAAAAATTGTAATTCTGGAATTCTAAAATTCCCAAATGTTTCAATTCCATTAAATTCTCAAATTTCTAAATCCCCAAATCAGCCAGTTTCCAAAATCCCAAACTCTAAGTATTTAAATTTCTGAATTTGCCAAATTTCCAAATCCTCAAATCTCCAAATCCTTAAACCTCAAAGTTTCCAAATCACTCAAATTTCCCAAATCAACTCTACAAATCCCCAAATTGATCTCCTCAAATTCCCAAAGTCCCAAAATCGAATTACCATTCGTCGAATTACCACATGTGGAATTACTACGCGTCGAATTACCACGCGTCGAATTACCACGCGT